GGGGTTCTCTGCTTCCAAAAATTCTGTAAGGTGATTCTTTCTACACTAAGATATTTCCTTTTTTTCTTTCAGACTTATGCTGCATCTGTAACTCTTTTCTTTTTTGGTTAAGTAAGACGTCTGTCTGCAGTAACAATAGATTCACACTCATGGATAGAAAACAACAGAAGATGTTTCTCATGCCATCAGAATACAAGTAAACAGCAAAGAATTAAGTCAGTATAACCTCCCTCAATATGCTCAACCACTTCACAGCTGTTACGCAGCCGAAAATCCGAACTGAGGTGGAAGCCCAATATTGACAGCCATACAATTTCAGTAATGTGTCAGTTATGGCAGTACAAAATCCATAGTTGTTTGGAAGGTTAGAATGCAAGAGACCAATCACCTTCCTGATAATAAAAAAAGGGACAACAAATAATTGTTTCAGTTATTTAGAAGGGACTGCTACCCTCATTCCAAAAGGATCGCACTTACACTTCACATGAGCAGAATCTACCTGTTGACGCCTGGCGGTGGAGGTTCTCTACCACGAAGCAAGCCTCACTAGTGATGGGTTTTCTTAATCAAATGGAATATAACTCATTTTCGGAGAGAATGAGTTTTTCTTTGGATTGGCATTTGATGAAGGAACTGGTTTTTTCAGTTATAACACCAATGTACAGCAATCCTACAAGCAGCTCGTTCTTAGGCACAATGTCAAAAGCATATTTCGCCTAAATCTTTCAACCTGTGCATATTTTTCTGATTATCATAATCTAACATGTCCATACTCTCTTTTTTTCTGAGTTATTATGAACTCTCACCAAGCATGTATTCGCCTCATGATGAAAAATTCAAAAGCATTATATCTTATCCACCAACTATAGGAGATTACGAATCTTTTAGCTTTTTCCATAGACTATGGATTAGCCCTCTTATATTCTTATCAGCCACTGTATCATTTTTCTTGGGGAATTTATACAGCGACTATAAGCACATTTAATTTTGATTTTGGAAAAGGTCTTGGTGCCTATCTTTTTACCTTTCATCAAACTAGCAAAGAATGTGACTGAGCATGCACACATAGATGAGAGATGAATAGAAAAACAAATAGAAGCAAAGGATCATAACTGGTCAAGGCCTTATAAAGGTTTCCTAGTACAAGTGTTGAGAACTCAAAAATATACCCTTCCCAAAAGAAATTTCACACGGGGAAAATAAAAGGCTGGAGAAAAACCACTTCACCAATTGCAAGTATAATGAGTAACCAAAACAGTAAAAAAAATGTGTAATGTACAGAAGAACTCACCTAAGGCATATTGAACAAATTTTATCATTGCTACAAAAGAAAATCAGGAATAACAGGTGATTGTGCTGCTAATGTTAGAGCCCCGTCTGCCCTTTGTCTGGATTTATGCTTGCCGTGGTGATGGCTAACCTTCTGCTTATCTCCCTCTTCATGTTCATCTCTATCTTTTGCAGTACTTCTATGTTTCTTCTCTTTACCACGAGAATGGCGTTTGCTTCTTCTCAAATTTGCATTGTCTTGTTCAGAATTCTCCATCATTTTAGAATCTTCTTTTGGTCCAGAAGACTTGTCTATATCTAACTTGTCCTTCTGTCTTCTCTTACTTGATGACTTGTCAGACTTCCTAGTTCGTGATGATGATGTTGTTGCTTCATCACCTAAAAGAACATCTCTCACAGCACCAGAGATTAGGTCATCTTTTGACTCTACCTTTTTGGCAGGGATAAAAGGTCCATCCCCATCATCCAGTTTCACTACTACAGGCCTAGGCTTTGCTTGGTTTACCTTTTTCTTAGAGAAGAGAGATTGTTCTGTCAGCTTAATCAGATCATCAGCCTCATCATCAGCATTATCTCCAGTCTTAAGGTCATTAGCAGGTGGGTAATCATCATATACCATCTCCTTTTTCTGTGACTGTAAATAATATAGCCCGTGACGTTTGCGATGCTCAGCAAGAAGAGACGTCGATTCAGTTGATTCAAATTCTTCCTTACTTTGCCGATCCGACATGGTAACGTCATCCTTCTCGGAGGAAATTGATTTTCCAAGGGAGAAAGAAGTGGGTATATGCAACCCAAGGTCACCACATATCGCATCCAGATCATCCAGACTTTGATTAAGCACCATTCCTTCAGGAATAGGCACCCTTTCCTGAGAACTTGCTGAAACTGGACCAAGCTCTTCTGAAAAAGCTTCAGCAATTAGTTTGATCATTTCATGAGTCTTCTTTTGTCCCTTGTCATTGTCTTCTTCCCTTTTCACCAAGAAACCAGGTAATTCTTCTCTTATCAGTTCAACCAAACCAAGGACATTTCTTGACCTCTCCAGTATCTCCACCTCATGGCTTCCTGCTAGTGGCCCCAACGTTATTTCTACGAGATCTAATATGTTAAGTATAGACTCTTCAGTGATTGGCTCTGCCTTTGAGGAAGTCGAGGACAACCACTCATGAGCAACAGACATATCCTCAAAACTCTCTACTGAAACATCCCTAACAGATCGATGTAACATCCTGGGATTCAACCCCCCATCATCTGTGTCACTATCAGCAACTGGTCCAGTTCTTACAAACTGAGAATTCTCCTGTACTCTTCCATGCATCAGATCTGCCACTCCTTGAGAAGCCGAAGAAATAACTCCCTTGGTAGAAATAGAGTAATGCAGATAAAAGGTAAGTACTTTGAATGCAGACTGGATATATACAGCTTTTATTGATGATGGCAATAAACTGGTTCTTGGTTGCAGCAGTGCTTCCACAATTTCTGATGGATTTTTTGAAAATCGAACATACTCCCCTGACACCCAAGCAGCTGCTGATAAAATCCTGTGTACGAAAGGATTGCCAAGCAATGCAGGATCAATAAGCAAATCACGGCCAACTCGAACAAG